AGCTGCAGATTTTCCATATTCCATATTTTGAATTCTTATGGCTCCCCTAAAAAATCCTTCCATTGCCTCTGCTTTGGAACTCAATTTGATGGAGACTCCCTCTCAACAATATGTATTGTATAATACAACAATCAGTAGCTACAAACACTACTCCAATGATGAATATATTGAATGGATGCTTATTTGAAAACTTGGACACAACTCTTCTTGTTTCGTGAAATGCATGATAATTTATGCTTCTCCTGTTATCCATACTATCATCATAATAACTATCTGTACAGCTCTCCCAATAGATTTCTAGAGTACTTCTTCTTTGAATAATGCCCCAGTCAAGAGTGTCTTGTAACATTCCAGCTGCAATGGTCTTTAAATAGCTCACCAAACTTGCTGCAAAAAACAACTGCAACAGTTAGTATCTCTTTATCTATAGTTTCATTCATTTGGATCCCATCTTTAGTTAATGCAAGCTCAACTCTTGAGGCTATTGAACCCCTTAGATTCTTGTTGTAAATGACTTGAAACCACTCAATAATATTCTATGTATGCTTCTTTTCCTCCCCTTCAACCACAAGTCCTTGTGGTTGCAACTTCACTTCCTCCGCACACCTTTGGGGATTATCTACAGCTTCAAACTCCTTTTCTTGCTCAATCAACATTGTTCTAGGGCCTATAATCTTTAAGCCTTGATCACGTTGAAGCAATTCTGCTCCCATAATGTTTATCTTCTTGCCACGTTCAGTAATCTCAACCACTACATGCCTTGACACTTTGAGCTCTTCAACCAATTTCTCAAACCTCATTGCATACAGCACCAAATACCTTTCAGTTTTGGTGTAACATATTTTGTTAACTTGCTTCAAATAGTATAATGCTTTGTTGAATATGTGAATTTTGTCTTCCACCCCTTCAAATACAAATCCAAGTGGTTGGTCGTCTTTCACATCTTCACTTAACTCCCATTCTCCTCCAATTTTCTTCACGTTAGAGGGCTGATCTTTGATCTTCCATTTGTGATTCTTTGTTGCCTGCAACTCCTCCAGCTTCATAGGTCCCAGTGTAGGTGAGAGTAGCTCAAGTACATCAGTGTTTACTAGCTCATCTTTTACTTGTAATTGCACATTAGCTACTTGTATGATAGAATCATATGTTGCTAGCATCATCACTTCTCCTCCTCCTTTTTCTTGGTCTTCTTCAGCTTTAAGTAGTTGAAGACAATACAAGTCTTGAACTAATGGCACAACAACAGATTCAACATGAAGAGTAAACAACCTGTTTGTGTTCATGCTTGTTTGAAACAACAAGCTGTTATCATTATGAAGGATCCTGCAGCTCCCCTGGCATATCAGAATAGTCAGGCCTTTCTCTTGTAGTTAGGAATGACAATGGGGCAGGTCCGGGGCGGGATCTCGATACCCATACCCGCCTCGTGGCAGGTCGGGTCCGGGTCTGGTAATTTATCATAAGGCACGGGTCGGGGCAGGTCGACCCATTGGGTATATAATGTATGCGAAAAACATTAGAATTATCCGTTATTTTAATTAAAAGACCAAGAAAAAAAACATAATTTGATAAAATGTAGTTAAAATTATTGGAAAATTTGAGTTTTTCACTTATTTACAACTTTATTATACCTAAAATATGATGTAATAAGACGAAAATGCTAAGTAATTTGACTAAGATTACATGTAATTAAGGCAAGAACGGGTCGAGAATGGGGCGGGTCAGGGCAGGTCGGGTCGATGAGAGGTACCCATTCCCGCCCCGCCCCAAAACAGGTCAAACAGGATGGATAAATTGGGTCAGGTCGAAATTGCCACCCCTATTTGTAGTTACCCCATACTGAGCAAATTGATTTCTAGCTCTGAAATATACTACACCTCAAAAATCACCCAAGTTCTTCCTTCTAATTTCATCCTTATACTCCTTTTACCCAACACTTGAAGTTTGATTCCATGTTCCAAATTGACAATACAAGTGAAGCTACTATCAAGATAAGAAAACCAGTCTTTGACCTTACACATATGGTTGCAGCAATTAGAATCTAAAACCCACCGATTATTAGACTTTTTATTAGACTCCAAGCCATCTTTCATCTGTTGCACATCTTTCTCAAGTTTAGTATAGGCCATGAGAAGCATTTCTTCTCTCATATCAACGGATCCTTTGTAGTAGTATGCTTGTTGATCCCATTCTGGACGTTCACTTCTAAAGTGACCCAACCTATGACATTTGGAGCACTCTACTGTGTCTCGATTCCATACTCTATCATCTCTGCCTCGACCCTTTTCTTGAAAGTACCATTTTCCCTAAAAACTGCCACCACATTTACCTCTGCCATGAAAGGTTTCATGGGTTGTCCTTCTTACTCTTCCATCATCAAACCCTACCTTGAGAGCTTGATCATTATCCACAACTATGCTACTAAATTTATGATCATGTACTATTAAAGAACTCTCAAGTGCATCTATAGACAAAGTGTCTATATCTTTTGACTCCTCAATAGCACATACAATATAGTTGAAATTCTCGGTAAGAGTTGTGAGTATTTTTTTCAACAATCTTTACATCAGAAACTGCCTCTCCATAGTTCCTTATAGCATTGGCCACGACCATCACTCGCCCAAAGTAATCGTTCACAGATTCACCATCCTTCATCTCCAACAATTAAAAGTACCTTCTAAAAGTCTGCAACAGGGCTCTTTGAACCCTGGCACTACCTTGAAACTTGAGTTTCATGGAATCCCAAAGATCCTTTGATGTAGACTTCTTGGTTATGGTGACCAAAATACTCTTATCAATTGAACTAAATAAGTAATTTTTAGCCTTAAGATCTTTCAAGACCTCACACTGACCTACAGAAAGCTCAGTACCGGTTGCTGTTTCTTTGATTCTGTTAGCTACAACACTCCAATACTCCTCTGAACGCAACAAATTTTCCATCAGCAATGCCCACTGATCATAGTCACCATCAAACCTGGGTATGCAAACCTGGACAAAGCTATTCTTACACATGATTCCACTCTTTCTATCTTCCACAACTCAATGCAAACAATGGAATTTCAGTTTTCTATCTCTCGTATTTCTCTCGCCCCCAACAAAGACAAAACTCATCAAACCTCTCTTGTTTCCCAAACCGAAAACAAACCAACACCCTTGAGCACAATATCTCAATCACACACTCTCTGGAAACTTTCAATCACACAAAATCTCTATAATCAACTCGGTTACAATTTGCTTAAGCTCTGATACCACAATGTGAAACCTAACTGATGCAAACTAACAGGTCCTTTCATTGAACGATAAAGATTTAAATACAGGGAAAACTAGTGCCCTCCAAACACTCTACACGTCTACAACTAAGTACGAACTAACCCCTACTCCTATATTTCAGCAAGCACTACTCACAAGTTTGACTTCAAAGACACAGATTCCTCTTGACTCTATAACTACTAAAATGACACAGAAGGAAACACCTAAAGACAACACTTAACATATATTGAAACCCAGCCCAACTTCAGCCACAACAACCACAATTTGATCCAACAATCAGGTCGGTCCATTATTTCTTCAATAACTGTAAAATTCATGGAGATCAAAGATGACCACAACATTGCTCACCCCTATAGTGAAATATGTAAGCTTTAGTTGGAAGCATTTTAAGCTCTGAAACTGAAATATATCATCCCACCTCTCCGCTCTTCTTCCTCCACCCACACTTACCTTTTTCCAAATAAAAGAAGCTCCTCCTTCTTTCATCTCCATTTTCTCAATCTGTTCACTACCTTTTCCCCCATTCTTCATATTTACCTTCCATTTGTCATTAGTTTATCCCTGATAAAGGTAAGAAATAGTTTATGTAATGTATTTATCTTTCATTAATTATGGTTAGTAGCTGCTATTATGTTTAGTGCATGTATGTTATTTATGTTTTAGGTACATTTGTGATTGTTGGGGCGACATAAAATTCTAGTGATAATAGAATGGGTTATTGAGTCTAATAAGTTGAAAAATCGACCCTAACTAGTTGAAGAAAAGTTAAGATAGGAGAAATATGTATAGATATTGTAAGAAATTGAAACAGAATGGGCCTAGAACGGGGCTGGGTAGATCGGAAGTAGATACCCATGCCCCGTCTCATGCTACTGCTGGTCGGGTAATATCTGCCCCATCGTGGGTCAGGTTAGGTAATACCCGCGGAACAGGTTCAAATTGCCATCACTACACGACACCCTTCACCGAAGGAAAAGAAAAACATGATACGCACACACCCATCTGATATCGACGCCGCCCAAATAACCAAAACATCCACAACAGCATGACACCACCACCAACCAGAGCACCAAAATCACGAGAATCTGACTACATCTTTACACCCAAGCCAAATGACAATAGATTCAATATTGTAGTCAAAATCGTGTTTTCCCCCATCATCTTCGTGAACATAGTGTAATAGAGAATGAAACAAATGTGGAAATTGAAAATCCATAGAGGTATTGGCCAAAGGAAGAGCAGATAAAAAGGAAATCGCAAGAAAAAAGAGGGTTGGGCTGCCGCCGGTCACCAAATGGTGAAATCGACGACACCGCTAGTGGAATCTGGAAAAGAGAGGTAGAGAGAGTTTAGAGCTTTTGAAAGACAAAAAAGGGAAGGTAGAGATAAGCTGGTGAATTGCGATTGATAAGAATTTCAATAGCGTGAAGAAGTTAGAAAAGATTTTCTTAACAAACTTGTGCACGACATTCTCACAATCTACTTTTAGCTATTGCATAAGAACATTAAGGACATTGTGAAGCAAATGTACTTGTCACTTGATGGTTCGATTTACATCGAACAAATATCTGGTGCTTTGGATCCTCAAATATATTATTAAGTGTTCACGAACCATCATATATGTAAATTCAAGCACATTGTTTCTCTGATTAATCATGCAAGGTTCGGACATATTTATTCAAATACTGTATCAGACACTTTCATTTGTTAGAGAAATTTGAAATCAGGATTTAGGAGGTGGGTTGGTTGCCAATCCAACCATCACGATTAACAAACGCATCCCTCGAATACTGCCTGAGGAGAGAAGGGTAACGGTCCAAGTTCTTCTCCCATGGAACTCGCTTCGATCTGTCCGAACCTGGTCCTTTACAATTAGCCTCGACGTAGAAGATATTTTTCCTACAGAAATTTACACAATGAAAGCGAATCAAGATTCACATAGATTGAATAGAGTTTGATCAAAGGGTATAGAAAAGTATCACTTCTACTATACTCTAAAGTATTGATGGATTAAAGTGCATTTTGAAGTTGTAACATAATATTAAATGTACAAATTAAAGTTGTATCATAAGGGAATTTGACATTTATGCTATGGTACAACTTCATCAAGTTGTACCATAATATAAACGTACAAATTTAGTTTGTACCATAAAAGAATTTTACAAAAGAGAACCTAAAGTTGTACCAAAACTTTAAATGTACAACTTCAAGTTGTATGGCAAAAGCAAAAACTAAATCACCAATGCTTTAAAGCATTGTAAAATTCCTCATAGAAAAAGTAGAGTAACTCACTCTTGGCCGGCGTAACGCCAAGCATCCCAGCCGCGAGGGTCGACGGCGGCGGTCATATAAGTCGACTGAAAGATGACTCTCGAGTATGGCCCGTAAGCTCGGCCAAGGAAAATCGAGACGCCGGGGGAGGCTCCTACCGAGCCGCCGAAGAACACAAACCCACTTGGATCGTTCGCTGTTGCCCTGCCTTGCGCCGTTATGTAGCCTCCTCCCGTCGCGTATATCTCTGCGTTCTACAAATATAGACACGTGGCAAGTTTAACGGTCTAACTCACGACGAGTTCATTATAGCTGAAGAACACCAATCATGATGTAAATTTCAATCAAATTAAGCGATAGTTTTACATTTTCTGACGCAACTTACTGAGCATTGCACGATACATTTTTTTTATTTAATAGGTCGAGACCCTTGAAACATACATTCCTAGCTAACAATTTTGATGGGAGGCTAGCTATGAAACAAATGTACATTTGAGAGTGTAAGATGTGTTACCTCATAGAAAGATTGGCCTCGACCGAAAATGAAATCGACGGCTCCTTGGATGTAGCAATTGGAGAAGTAATGGCGGCCGGTGGCGTCCCATAACGTGTCTTGGACGCCGACGAACGAACAGTCGTAGAAAGCCGTCTTGTCGCCGTACACTCTAGCAGCTAGCGCCGGCACTATCCCGTTCCCATACGGAACATCAATCCGGTTCCCGTCAATTGGGCCTGGGCCGGTGCCTGGGTTTGGGCTGTAGATTTTGGGTATGCTCGTTCTGAGGTTATACGAATTCTGAAAGCCCACATGGATTGTGTTGATTGTCAAAATTTACCATCATTTTCAACTTTCCCCATTTCAATTTTTCTCAAATTTTAAGTATTTACGTCTGATTTGATATTTATATTTTACTTTACTATTTGAGGGAAAAAAAACTTTTCAACTGGTTAATTACCTGGAAGGTGATACCCTTGGCTACAACATTTGGAGGGTAAGAAGAGAAAGTAGCACTTTGGTCCATCTGGTTGTGACCATTGTAGATAATGTTCGTCTCCTTTTGTCCTTCACCTTCTAGAAATACACACGGCTTGTCATATGAAATCGTCACTTGTTCTCTGCATATACCATGGGCCAACTTTTGATGGATTAACCATAAAACTCGAATACAAAATATAACCCTTGTTGTTCATCCACAAGAGTAGTACTATTGAATTAACTATATGGAGTGAAATTATATGACGCTTTTACACTTTCATTGAACATTTTAAGAGACATTTGGATCAATAACTATTAACATGGATGGATTTATGAAATGTGTGGAAAATTATCTTTAAAAAAAATCAATACTACAATTCAGAGCTATACTAGTTTAAAACATGTAGTAGATTCATAAATCTCTCTTCCAAACGAACGAGTGATTTGAAATCTCAATATTTTGCAAATTTGACCAACTCAAACCATTTATTGTCCATCCAAATATATCGGTTTTGCATACATTAATCACTCTACATGTATGTCATGGTGCACAGCTTTTCCCATCACGGTTCATTAATGCGAAGTTGAGTGAACCGTTAATTTCATACAACTCAAACAAATCTCTACAATACGTTTCCGTTACTCATCGATCTCACTTCTCTAATTGACATGTTTACGTACTTTATAAAAAAAAAAAAAAATAGAGGAGGAAAAAGGGATGGATAATTACACGTAGGTACCCTGCTGGATATGGACTTTGATCCACCATTTGTTGTAAGAAGGGATGGAATCAATGGCAGCTTGCACGGTCTTGAAGCCACCCTTTCCCACAAATCTGTAATTTGCACCACCCCACGACGACGGCTTGCCGCCGCAGTCAAGAGCTGCAGCATGATGATCTTTCACCACCGAATTTGAAAGTACTAAAATCGTCGCTAAAAGTATCATAATCCCTGCCATTTTGTTAGAGACGAATATGGATTTGTATTGGTATTAAGTTTATATGGAATGATTTTTAAGCAAGGCATATCCGGTTGTTTAATATATAAGGGAAAAATATGATGATACATATTTTATATATTACTTAAAGAGTTGCAATTTCAAATTTGTAGAGATTTTCCTTACCTTAAGAGTTGCAATTTCAAAATTGTGTAGACATATGTATGAATTTCACTTTAACTAGCTAACAAATAATTAATTGCGGATGGAATTTAATGTCCTGATGTGTATTTTTACAGGTGAAGATACCGAAATTCCGACGTTGCCTTTAAAAAAATATTGTGTTTTAATCCACCGTGAAGAATTCAATATTGACTCATTTTTATATCACATAGAGTAATTATAGTGATGATTAGTAGAAATTTGTATGTGTAATTAAGTATTCATGTGATAGCAATTATATTCGATATAAATTTACAATCCAATTGTTTACTGGATCCTCCAAATCCAATTACCAATGGTAAATACTACGATTAATGAATCAGATCGCATCTCAAGTCGTAATGAAATTCGACGCGATAAAGAAAACAATTAAAAGGGGTCATCTACATTAAGTTTCCATCGCCGCAATTCTAGACATTGCCATCTGTTTATCCATAAAAAATTCGTTTGTACAATATCGATTAACTACAAGAGATTTAATGGATTTATAAGGTCATCTCAACATTAATAATTAAAATAGCTAGTTGGGCCTTGTTGGGTTGGGTTTTTGGGCCTAGGTGGCCAAGCTCTTCTCCATACATGATGGCCGACCCGTCTCCTTGGCCCCCATAGCCGGACGATGCCTCCACCACTTGGTATGAAATTTGGCTCCCAAAAAACTAAGTCTAGAAACAAGGCGGCACAATGGGGTGCCAAACGACTGGGTACCAAGCCGAATATAAAAAAGGGGTCATTCAAAAACTAAGTCTGGAAACAAGGCGACACAACGAGGTGCCAAACGATCGGGTACCAAACAGGGTACCAAGACATGAAAAGCATGAAAATTGGCTAAGTATGGAGCCAAAGGGGTACCAAGCCGACAGGGCAGGCTTGATAACAAAAGACATGAAAATTGGCTAAGTATGGAATCCCATGGCTAGGGGGCCATACGACACGATGCCACACCATCCATAGCAAGAGGGTATCAAGCCGGCAAGGCAAGGCTTGATACTAAGACATGAAAAGCATGAATTTGGATAAGTATGTACCAGGTCGGCAAGGCAGCCTCCGCGAAGGCAAGGTGGCTAGCTGAGGTGGGCACCCAACTAGGTATCAAACAACCATGTATGGATCGGCCAGGATGCCGAGCTGAGGGTGTCAATACGATGAGGACTCGTAGAGTCCCTTATGGGGACATATGGTGGCGTAGTCCCAAGACGGGCTTGGTAGCACCCTAACGGGGTACCAAACCGCCAGGGTACAACTTACTAACTTGACGAGGCTACAAAAACTAAGTATGGAGACCAATCAACCAGGGCTGGCTTGGTAGCAGAGGGTGTCAAGTTGATTACATGGGCTTGGTGGCATGCCGAAAGGTATCAAGCCGATGAGACTTGGTAACAACCAAACAGGTCAATGAGGAGGACTTGGTGTCAAGAAGTGGTAGCGGTCTCATGACAACAAGAGCTGGGAGTCATCAAGCAGTCAAGGGTGCAAAGAAAACTTCATCATGGAGGCTAAGAGCCTCAACCCCATCCAGTCATGACAGGGCGACAAGGCTCAATACCAACCCGACATCGAGACCATCAAGTACCAACCATCCCCAAGATGGGAGAAGGCCCCCCAATGTGACGGTTATCAACTAGTCACCAAGGCAGCGACAAGGAGCCCCTAAGGCGGTTGGAGCAACAGGCCGGCTAGCAGTTACCAGGGAGGTTACCAAGGCAGTTACACCTAGTGGCTATAAATAGGAGAAACGAAGAAGAAGCAAGGGTTCCACAACCAAACATTTGACACGCAATGTCAAAATTTATCCTTTCTCTGCAATTTAGCCATAGCCTTTAGTTTTCGGAGCTCTCATTGAACCTCCATAAGAGTAGGAGTAATTAACGTAGCTTGTTCTAAAAAACCATTAAAAACATCAAACACCCTCGTTCGAATATTGTTCGGAGAGGTGTGAACCATGTTTAGAATCGTTGTTCAAAAAGTCAAAGGTGCATTGATTGAAATCAAACACCAAATTTTCCTCGTCGGAACACACCACCTAACGAACTTGGTGTGACACATCATTCATTCATTGTAAGAAATGAATATCCTCCGCCAACCTATGGATGTGTTGCCAGCAACAAACCAAATCTTGAGAGTCAATCTCTAGTGTGTAGTTCCGGTCCTTGTTTCTCCCTTTCCGTAATAAAAAGCAATATCACATTAAATTTTTTAGTGTATTATGAATATCATCTTCTTAATGAGATTTCATGTTCATCATTTTATACATGGTGCAAAAAGATGCTCTTAACTTTACACTTGTATGAGTGCTAGTTAATGACAAAACACCTCATCCAGAGGTTCTACAATAAGTTAGACATTCGAAATAAGGCAACCCCCAAGTGCCACCTTAGAATAACTAGGTGGAGCGAGACTGATAAAAAAAGGGAAAAAGACAACATCGACTGCAAAATGAATTATTTTTGAATCTTTTCAATGACTTAAGAACCATATAAGCGATTGAGCTATAATTCTATTAACTTGTGAACTATTTTACTTCTTGAAAAGCAAGTTATTAATCATTTAAACAGAAATCCAAAAGAGTTGTAAAATTTATGGTGTACTTCGTTCATCATTTAGTACAAACTACTACTTTTTTATTCCAACGTCTAGTCAAGATAATCACTAGACAAAAATCAAAAACCTTGATTTACATATCTAAAATACATGCATTGCTTATACTTTCCAATCTGTTCAGCTTCAGCCCGAATACAAATTCCTATTATTTATATACTAGCTATTACCCGGCCCGTTGGCCGAATTACTTCAAATTATCAATTCGTATAATGAGAAAGAAAGTTGTAGCGGGAGAACATTTATTTTCGAAGATTATTTTTTGTCAATAGCTAACTTGTATTACTAAGGACTATGAAGATACCACAGTTTACAACAAAAAAAAGTCAACGTCGAAAATCAAAACCACTACTAAGTACTAACACTTCCAGAAAACAAAGAAATTGCATTTTTGGCCACCAAATGGGTCACCCGGTTATTTTGCCTGCCTATAAATTCCATAACAAAACGTCCATACTATTACCGGAGTTTCCTTATTTCCTCGGAAATGATTCCACCTCTGCCATCACGTATCTCCTGGCCTCATACGTACCTTATCAATGACTACTTTTGAATCCCACTTGAATACTACCTCCATTAGACCCTTCAAATGTCACCATTGGATTGCATCCCAGAGAGCCATCAATTCAGTTATATATGGATCTAAGATACTTACATATTGGAAGCGTTGGACAAAAATCACACTACACATCCTGTCTTTGCAACTAATCACTCGACTCCGAGTGCGAATCTGACAACACAGAATCATTTATTTTTAGAGAAATTTATATTCAAATTATTAATAATGTGTTAATATATTGTTATATTTAAAATATTATTAAATTTTAGACAAACATATACATCCCGATCAAAATACTACAACAACTCTTATTTTTTTAATTCAATATATGCATCTAGATCACAAAGAAAATAACAACATTTAAAAGTACCTTCTAACAATTTGTTACCAATTTTATACATAAAATTATATAAATTCACTTTGTATTTTAAATTTTATTTATAGAATAAAAAAATAAAGTACATGTGTCCCCCCACCCTTAAGTTTTCCCGAATGGCATCCTAGTACAGTAGTACTCCACCTTACGGTCTTACGGTTTCTCATAATCTTCTCATTTTTCTAACTATTGATCTTCAATTCTTCGTTCCCTTACATCAAATGGGTATCGTTTATAAAATTTCAAGATTATAATAAAAAATGTTCTTATATCAATCCAAACAATCTCTAAATCAGTGTCACCTATAAGTAATCTCATCAAATCTATTTCTTCCAATCTAGTCATCAGCTTTTAATCTGGCTGAGTTCACATGATATTTAAAGAGCCTCAATTCTATGGAGTCTTAATTGATCGTTGGTGACATACAAATAATCCTTCTGCTAATCTTAAAAAGAGCTTGTATTATCGGCAATTATTC